TTTTGTAATAAAATTGTACTTTACATAATAAAGTACAATTATATTATTTTTCATAAAATGGATATATATTAATGTAATGAATATTTGAAGATTAAATAACAATATTATTAATATTAGTATTTTTACGAATAATAGGTTATACAGTAATAATTAGATTATATAATATTGGAAGTTAGCAATATAGTTATATAAAATAAATAAAAAATATAAAATCTTAAAATTTATTTTAATACTATAAGTCTATAAGTTTTAATAAATTCAAGAATTACTTATTTCTATTGACATTATAATTCTTTTCAGGGCTGTCGATGGTAAGGATAAGAAGAATAAGAAGAAAGGACTCTTTTAAATCAACTTCAGAAAAACAACATGAAGAGAATTTTTTCTTAAAATAATCGACAGCAATTTTTCTTAAAAAAATATCATATTAATAATATATTTTTAAGAAAAATTGAACAAATTAATAACAAATATTTCGTTTAAAAGGATGTATTGATAATATTTTCTGGCTATTCTATACCTGGCATTTGGAAATTTTTATTTGATTATTATTATTAGATATTAATGTATATGATTCATCAAAGGTATATTTTATGATTTCTTATACATTAATATAATGTCATTTTTCTCTCAAAATCATTAAAGATAAAATATGGTTCGAGAGATTTATTAATGAATTAAAAGACAAAAAAAAATATGTATTGCTTCATATAAAATTTCAGTATAAAATCATACAGTTGATATTTATACTGTGTATATCACTCTTTGTTTATACAACTTCCTTGTTTTACAAGCATAAATATATTATGCTTTCAAGAATGAAAATGAAAATATTTTTTTCTATTATGTTCATTTATGCTTCGCGCTTCCTATTATTAATATTCAACAAAACTATATTTAGCATAATTCGACATATAATATTGTACAAAATATAGACATAATCTCAAAAAATGTAATTTTCTTTAACAAGAGTGATCAAAAAATGGTGAAAGAGAAATATGAGAAATTTCTTTCGATATATCTTCATTTTTTATCAATCTATTTATATCTTTAATATTTATATGAACACTTTGAATATCGAACAATAAGTATTAACATTGTTTTGTGCATTGTTTTTGATATTTACATATTTAATATGGATATTTTGAACTTAATAATTATGTTAATAGAATATATAACATAAATGTTATGAAGAAAGATCTTGATAATTCATGAAGATTCAAATATTGAAAATCTGAAATAACGATGATCGCTCTTGAAAATTATATATAATATATATAATTGGATGAACAAATTCAGTTAATCATAAATTTGATTGGCAGAATCATTTTTAACAAACTAAATAAAAAAAATAAAATAAAATGTTTTTCTAGAAAAAGACATTGTATACTTATCAAATTGAAGCGTGAGATATATTATCGACCTAATGAGCGAGAGAAGTCTCTGTGTCTACAGTTAGCAATAAGCTATATTGATGTTTCTATTACATTTGAAAGTGCATAAATTAAATTGTTAAAGAATAGCGCATTTATAAAATTATAAAAGGATTTCTTATCCTAAAAAACAAATTGTATAAATAATTGTTTTACATCAATTGTATTCTTCCTTTCAGTATTCGCTAAATGCGAGTAACAGCGTGCTGCTTTGTAATGAATTAAACACAAAAAAACTTAAACATAAGAAAAGAACAATACAGAGTATCACTCATTGTCTTTTCATTGAACTTGACTTATATCATTCTGCGATGAATGATTAAATGTGATTCTAAATGAAGCAGTGGCCATATATATATACATATAAATATATATTTATGTATAAATATAAATTTGAGAAATTGTAAGAATAAGTCCAAATTCGTGTAAATTTAAGTTATATCAATAATGAGGCAAATCGCGCCACATTATGCGATTAAGAGTAATTAAGAATAAATTATATTAAAATAAGTGTACTGGATCGTTGTGATTCGAGGTAGTGCTCCAATTTTTATTTACTATATAAATAGAAAATACAAATAGTCAAGTTATGAGTTAAATTATATTAAAAAGGATCATAATCGATTAAAAACATATCCGAATTGATATGGAATTTATATGAAAAAAAATCGCGCTGTCTCGAACCCGTCCAAGTATACATTGATACCTATAACAAGAATGGGCAAATCTGTTTAATAATAAGTTCCTTAAATGTAGACCTTATTGCACGATTTATTATATTTCTTTTCTTGCTATATATATATATATATATATATATTTTATATCATACCTTATGAAAGAGTGTTTTCATCAAGTTCAAATTTTTAAAAAAAAATTCAAAAGTTTGCCCAATCTTGGATTTCTATTCTAAGCTAATTGAATTACTGGTGTGCCAAGATAAAGAGAATAAGCATTTTATAATAACACTAGTATATGATTCTTCAGTTTCTACAAAATAAGATTTGTGCGATTTAATATGCAAGAAAGAAAAAAAAGGACTTTGATTCCACGTGTTGAAAAAACTATGTGTTACATTCCTATTTTATATGCATTTTTCTAGATCAAAAGATCAACTTATCAGCTCGATCTTTCTTATTATCGACAATCCATTAAGAAGCTCAAAATAAATCGCTTCAATCGCACGAATAATTATGCTGATAAATCGAAAAATTTATTAAAAAATAATAATAATAAACATAAAGCTAAGATATATTAGAAAAATTTTTACTTAAAATTTAAGCAAGAAAAAAAAGAAAAAGAAAAAGAAAAAAAAAATGCTTTTTGAAATATCGATGTGCCCGAGTAAAAAATAAAAAAGATATTCGAGAAAAAAACGTTTCGAAATTCGAGCTTTTTCGATGTTAAAAACAGTAATAGATACTTTTTAAAAATGGACATTATAATTAAATGATTCGCAAGTTTTGCACTGATAATATTAAGCTCAATATTATAAAAATATTTGAACATTACTCATTATGTTATTTTTGTGTAAACATTGTTTAAATGTGTTTATATTTTGAAACAAAAAATAAATATTCAAACTTTTTTTTTTTTTTTTTGTAATAATTGTAATAAGAAAATTTCGAAATCTACATTTGAAGTACAAAAATATAACAAAGATTATCTTCGAGAAATATAAAATTTTTCTCAATAATTTGTTATAAATTTTCTTATTTATTTTTTTAGAAAAGTATAAAAACATAAACATGAAATAATACTTGAGTACTTAAATTTTATTTTTCTCTAAAAAACATTTCAAATAATTATTATAAAATGTAGAATTTTATATATTTCTAAAAACAAAAGATTCATTTCATTAATTTATGTTTTTGATTAATTAATAGAAAAAAATCTGTTTATATATTTCAATGTTGTATAACATGTAACTGTAAGATATCGAAAATCGACGAATTGAAATGTATCAATTATTGTATGTGTACTTTAATCAGCAATGCTTATAATATTTAAATAGTTAATCGTCATAAATCGTGTGAACTATCACCTATGAACACACATATTATACATACACGTGAGTTACAATATAATAATAAAACACCAAAAAAAACCTAAGGCAAAAATAGATAAAAATAAAAACAAACTATATTTTGCCGTACCAGATGAAAACAAAGCTGCCGCCGCTATCTTGTAGAACATGTTGTAATAATAATAATATTCAGAAAATCACAATTAGTACGTTATTACTATTATACTTTAGGATTATGTATTCAGTAAATTATATATAAAATTATGAAAAATGTTACTCCATTTTGAACCCGAGCCTTAAAATATTATATTTTATATAATTATATACAGATAAAATATGTTCATATGCATGGATAATTTTTTAAATTATTTAAAATATTTATATTTACTTAAGAAAAAAACAGACGTTATTATTGTTTATATTATTGTTCATGTTATTAGTCCCTATGTTTGCGAATTATCCATTATACATATACATATAATAAATATAGAAACATAACCAAAGTATAGAGATATCGTAGACAAAACATAAAAATTTAACAAAAAATTTAAAATATTTCATTGAATATGACATAAAAATCTTATTATATCTATTATGCTGCAATTTAATAGACTTATTATGCACAAATATTTTTGGATAAATTCGTTTATTTTTGAAAATTTTTTTCTAATTTAAAGTAATAAAAAAGCAAAAAATTATTCCGAAACCGATTCTTTTTTATTTTTATTCTTTTTTTTGTAAGATTATATTATTTATCATTATGATGCCATTCATATTAATAATTTTAATATATATATGTCATACAATTTAATATTGTGGTATAAATATTAAAGATAAAATAGATATTATAAAACAGGTAAGTAATTTTTAATTAAATTTAATTTAGTCTGACAGTTCTAAAGTATCTCGAATATTATAATATGAAACGAAATAAATTAAATTTATATATGACTAATAAATTATTTATATAAGATCGTGAACTCGATGCAATAATACAAGTAAGTATATTCTTTATATAACAGAAATGAAAAAAATGAAAAAAATATTTATTCCGAAAATTTCAGCGTAAAATCATCGTAAACAAAATATATTTAGTTAGAATGCTTTGCTTAATTTATTCTAGATACTTATTTTCATTTACATTATTTCATCATTTACATTAATAGTACTTCATTCAATTTATACATACTTATATAACTTATCTACTATCTACTTATTATAATTTAAAATTATCTATTTCTAACAATTAAGAAGATATATTTGTTCATAAATTTTTCTTTAGTAATGTATATTTTATAATAATATTACTTTTACACTAAAAATATATATTAAAAATATTTATATATAAAAAAATATTAAAATAGAAATTATATTATATTTATATTCATATTCGAATTACATTATATTATATTTCTTTATTATGGAAATTATATTTTAAAATCGTTTTTGATATTACAATTGTACATTTTTCTTTTTATTACAAAGTTTATTGTATTCAAAGATTATAAAAAAAAGATTAAATTCTTTGCAATATTTCTTTCAAATTCAAAATTTTAAATTACAAAGTCAATAAGCATTTATATAATATATTCGTAAAAAGAATCGAGTGAATTTATTATCCCCTCCAAGTAGCAATACGACTAGTTGATTAGGGAGTAGTAATTCGATAAGATTTTGTTTGGAATTTAGTTTCTTAAGAAAACTGATTAGTAAGACAGACCTATAGCTGAGAAGAAGGGTTAAACGAGTTTTAATAGGAAGTGACCGTAATTTTCACCTGTCGAGTTTCACTTCTAACCTGAATTCATCATTGGATCTGTTTGTAATAGTAACATATCTGTTCTTGAAACATATATTTTCTTATTTAAAAGTTATAAATTTAAAATCATCAATATTAAAATTTTTGAAAATATTCTTACTATTTTCTCAAGATTACAGAATTAAGTGCTAAGAAAATATTATATAATAATATTAAAAACACGAGTTCCTCAGTGTATGATCAATAACCGGCATCACGTGTATTTTCAAATATATATCTTTTCTGTATATTGTTATGCACATAAAATATTAAAGATTATTTTTTAGAGATTATTTCATAAAAATATTAATATAGATTACAGAAAATATAATATATGATAAAATATTTTAAATAAATTAATCATGTGGCCAAAAAATGTTGGTATTAAAGCATTGGAAGTATACTTTCCTGCTCAATATGTTGATCAAACGGAATTAGAACAGTTTGATGGTGTTTCTGCTGGAAAATATACTATTGGCTTAGGCCAATGTAAAATGGGTTTTTGTAATGACCGTGAAGATATTAACTCTTTATGTTTAACAGTTGTACAACGATTAATGGATAGATATGATATAAAACCTGAAGATATCGGAAGATTAGAAGTTGGAACTGAAACCATAATAGACAAAAGCAAATCAGTTAAAACTGTTCTTATGCAATTATTTGAACCATATAATTGTACGGACATAGAAGGAATTGATACAACTAATGCTTGCTATGGAGGTACTGCTGCTCTTTTAAATGCTGTATCTTGGATAGAAAGCAGTGCTTGGGATGGCAGATTAGCTTTAGTTGTTGCTGGTGACAATGCCGTATATTCAAATGGAAGTGCTAGACCAACTGGTGGTGCTGGAGCAATAGCAATGGTAATTGGACCAAATGCACCTTTAATAATTGATCGTGGAGTGAGATCATCATGTATGAAACATGTATATGATTTTTATAAGCCAAACTTAAAGTCTGACTACCCTATTGTAGATGGACAATTATCAATTCAATGTTATCTTAGTGCATTGGATACTTGTTACCAGACTTATCGTAAAAAGGTGATAGATAAATACAATCATAATGTGACTTTAGATAATTTTGATTCATTTTTGTTTCATTCTCCATATTGTAAATTAGTACAAAAATCATTAGCTAGATTAGCCTTTATTGATTTTTTGAATACATCTAAAGAGGAAATATCCAAAAAATATCCAGAATTAGAAAAATTTCATGGTATTAAACTTGAGGAAACTTATCTCAATAAAGATATTGAGAAAGCATTTATAAATTTAAGTAAAAATATTTTTATGCAAAAGACACAACCTTCTTTAATGATACCAAGTCAAGTAGGAAATATGTATACCCCATCTGTATACAGTGGATTAGCTTCTTTATTAATTAATAAATCTGTAAAAGAATTAGCAGGAACCAAAGTGGGTATATTTTCATATGGTTCAGGATTTTGTTCCACCATGTATTCAATAACAATAACAAAAGATTATAATGAAAAATCTGATTTAGAGAAAATTACTTCTTCACTTTCTTATATTAAACAACAACTCGATGCTCGTCAAAAAGTCTCTCCAGCTGATTATACAAAAGTGTTAGAGTTACGTGAACAGAATTGTCACACTGTACCATATATTCCTCAAAGTAACATTAAAAATTTATTTCCTGGAACCTATTATCTTGTACAAGTGGACGAAAAATATAGAAGAACTTACAATAGAGTATGAAATTTCTGTTAATCTTTACTATTTACTTATTAATTTTAACTTAATACAAAACAACAAAAAAATTAAGATTAAAATTACTAAATCAAAAAAAAAAAAAAATGATGCATAATTATAATAAAATATTTTCATTAAACATGTTTTTATAGTATAAAAAAGCTGCATCAATAATACTAAAAATTAAAAATATATTATTTTTAAATCTTTTAAATATATAATTTTTAATCTTTTTATAAATATTAAGATTTGATTAATATAATTTATATAATATATATTAATTACTTTTATAAAAATATATCTTTTTGTATATTTATTTATCACAATTTTTAATATATTATTATATCTTTTAAATTTTTTTTAGTAAAAAAAACTATAATCATTGTGCTTCATATTGAATATTAATATGGAAATAAATAACAATACATTATGCTAATTTATATGAAAAGTTCTTTAAAAAAATATTCCTATGTAGTATATATTTTTTAATATTAATCTATTAATTCTATAAATATTAAAAAAGCAATAATAAAATATTAAATTTACACACACACACACACACACACACATTTCTTATAGTATCTTATATAGCATGTATAGTTTTTATGCACATATTAAAAAGTGCCTTAATAATAAATTTTTTTTCATAAAGTTACATTATATATATGCGTGTGTATATACATGTACATAGGAGAATATGTACATATAAAATAATATACCAAAATATACCAAAAATAAAACAAATTGCATATAAAAAAAATTATTCAATATGTTACATATTTGTTATATATTTGTTGATGCATATAAGTTAAAGATAATTGTAACAAAATATTAAATTTTTTTTATATATTTTATTAAAAAAGGGAAGTTTCTAGAATATATATTGTAATTTACAAGTGCATATTTATTTGACAATGTCTATATAAATGTTAATAAATAATAATTATTATTTAATATATTGTTTAATATTTATTTTCATATTAATTTTGTTATGTATATTTTATTTATTTTAATTATACAATAGATGCAACATTATTTACATTTTAGTAATTATAATATTGTAATAATATTACAAAATAATAGAATAACATTTCTTTTATTTAAAAAAATATATATTATTTGTGCTCATTGAGATTCATTTTTTCATTAAAAATAAATATAAGCATGATATTTTGCTATTTATAAATAGTTGAAGTACATAATTATCATTATTATATCAAATTATCAAAGCTAAGCATTTATATTTACAAATGTATACATTTAAAATATTCAATCTTAAATCTCTAATAATTCTAAAAGTAGTAATAATTTTCGAAATTAATACAAATCCATAATGTGTTGTGATTCTATAATTAAATAGTCACAAAATACTGGCTTAGTACCATAATTATTACTATTTTGTCATTATCAACTCATTTTTTTTAATATCACATTATTTGAATAGTTAGAAAAATATTGTACATTATTCTTTTTCATTTTATATACAAATTTAAATTTAAAAAAGATATGTATACCACTTGTTTAAAAATCATTACTTAAAATATTTTATATGAGCAGCTTGAACAGGAAGACAATTTTCTACTTGCACCAAGTCTAACAACTTCATCTTCATTAGCATTTATTTGGCGATTTTCATATCGTCTCTAAAAAAAAAATTTATTCTTTAATATAATTTATAATATGATTTAAATATTTGAAATATTTATATTATACATTATATATTATATAAAAAGTAAATGTTTACTTTAAGCTCAGATGCCAGATAAAAAAATATGGAATCTATATTGGTATTTTCTTTGGCTGATGTTTCTACTACTTGTAATACTTCAGGAAGATATTGACAAAGAGCTTCTGCTTCACCTTTTTCAACTTCTCTAAGACTTTCTAAATCACATTTGTTACCTATAGGATTTTCATTTGTTAATAATTAACATATAGATTATAATTTAAAAAAAAAATGAATGAATCTCACCAATTAAAATTAATAATACATGCGATGAAGTATACCTTCGTACTTCTTCAACCCAATGTTGTAAACTTAAGAATGTAGATCTTTTTGTAATATCATAAACTGAAATATATTTTATTTTAATGATCTATGATTAAATGAAAAATAAAAGTTATATTTTTTACATACCAACAATAACACCATTAGCAGATCTATAATAACTTTGAGTTATTGTACGAAATCTCTCTTGGCCAGCTGTATCCCATATTTGTAACTATTACAATATTTTTAATAGTATATATTATATACATCATATATTTTATAACATTAACATTATTAAATTTATGAGACAATATTATTTGTATAAAATAATTCAAATTTTTTTTAAATTTATTTTATATATCGTATATTAAACTAATAAATTATTATAATATAATACATATCGTTTAAGAAAACTTACTTTTAAGATGAAAAAATTAAAATTACAAGTTTTCAAATAATTTTATTTTAAAAAAATATTAAATCTTTCGAAAATTTATTTATAAATAATTTTTAGGTTAAATATTAAAAAAATAAAGAAATAATATTTTATTGATCATAGATCAAATAAACATACCTTAACTTTCTTGTCATCAATTAGTATAGTTTTCATGGAAAAGTCTACACCAATTGTATTTCCATGTCTTTCGATAAATGTACCAGATCGAAATCTTTGAACAACACATGTTTTTCCTGTACCACAATCACCAATAAGCACTATCTTAAATAAATAATCGAAATTTTCATCGTTTGTGGTTATTAAATTATCCGGATCACGGTTCGACATTTCTCTTAATCGTCGAAATAGTTTATAAAATCGACGATACTTTGAAATCCGCACATCCAAACCATCTGGTTACTTACGCCATTATTTCATTGAACTCGATCACTTTTACGAAATTTTTCAGTACAGTTAGTACATATAATGTATTCATTAAAACTAAATTTCAATATTATTATTTTTCTAATTTAATTTTATATATAATATTGTCTTATATTATGCGAATATAACTCATAGAATTATTAATTTTTTATAAAAATAAATTCTAGTTTTAATAAAATTTAAAAAAATATTAATATAAGAAATTTATTTTTATTAAAAAATTATTAATGGCATATAATACAATGATATGGATGTGACATGTAATTTTTATTTTCAAAAAAGAAAATTTTTTTCGACAAAAAGAGCATATTAGAATATTACATACATTTATTATAAACATATTTTTATATAAACGTATTCTATACCTAGTAAATTATAAATATAATAGAAGTTACGAACATTACTTTCCAGATGTGAATTTTGAAAGACCTTCTAATAAACTAACATATGCTGTATGTTCATAACTTGTACTAAGATCAATTAATTTTTCTGCAAATTCATTTGAAACGCCTTTTTCTTCAAGATAGTTCATCAATAAATCATATAGATACTGAAACAAATATTGTATTTTTATACATAAATGTAAAAAAACAGCATTAAACTAATCATAAAAATATATAAAAAATTACTGTTAATTCTCAAATAATTAATTTTATCAATGATAAAATGATTCTATATTCTGAGAATGTTTTGTTTTTCCAAAGATTAATTATCAAATTGGTTAGTGAATATTCCAATTTGTACTCAATTCCTTGGTTTACTTATTACAAATATATAACCAACTTTAATAATATATTACTTACCCCATCAATAATTTCACCTGCAACAGCATATACTTTGTCAGTATGTTCTCCTGTATATAAAGTGATTTCATCTATACCAAAAATATCATCTGAAATTAAATAATATCTGTATGAAGAACATATTCATTTCTAATTATATAATAATGCATATTAGTATGTTATTGTATAATATATTTATTATATTACTGACTGTAGCTTTCATTGGCACCTGATGCACCAGGTTCATTATTAAAAGAACAAGTGAATCCAAGAGTTTGATTTCCTCTTATTATATCTATTGTGAAAGATGGTTTACTTTTCATATCACCAATATCTGGATTATCATTTGTCATTTCAATATTAGGTTCAGATTCAGAATCAACTGTATGATTTATATTAAATGAAATCCTGATTCTATAAAAAAAAATAATTAATAAAGTAAAAAAAATATATTTTTTATACAAAATAATTCATGTTTTGTAATTTAATATTATTTTAGTATGATAAATATTTTTTTTTTACATTTCATTATCTTGCTTCTTTTCTAAATTAACATCTGCACCATCAAGTGATACTTTGAATCCATCTAATTCAGTGGGAATAGTTTTTAGTTTTTGGGCCTTCTTTTCTGCTATAATTTCTTCTGCTAAGAATTCCACAAGCTCCTTTTCAGCTAATAAATAAAAAATTATAATAAAGCAGAAAGATAATAATATATTAAAAATATTTCAATATCAATTAAAAATTAAAAATATGAACTTTATATTAATGATAATAATAAAATGTATATAATATAATAATATATAATTATAATATACTATTAATATACATATGTATATCGAAAAATATACTTAAAAATATCCTTATAAATATACGATTACTTATAAAATGATAAAATAAATTACGATACATTAAATATACCTTTTGAGTGAGAATTCCTGCAACAATTGTAATTACAAAAAACATTTTGATGTTTAAATAATTTTATCGGAACAATAGATGTAATTTGAGTTTGTCGAGAAACATTCCATAGTGTTCTTAATTGATTACATGTAATTCCTTTACTTGACATTGTTGAAAATAAATTTTTAATTATCGATGAACGCAATGTATTTCTTATAATTCCATTCATTTTAATTATTATTACTATCGTCCTTTTTACTATTTGAATCCGTAATACCCGCAAAATGGTTTTCCTATAAACCAAGCACGAGGTAGAATGAATTTCTTCGTCACAAAACAAAAAACGTCTAGTTTATCCTTCCAGAACGAACTTTTGTATAGTGATTTCTAGTAATTTTCTGTTTGAAATAAAGATTGGAATTGATATGAAGAAGTTTTATTTAATGAAAACTAGACATATATTTTACTAGCATCTTAATTTTATATATTCTTAGTTAATATAACACGAAGAAATTGCAGGAAACATTTGCATTATTGTGTAAAAAATATTAACTTAAGAAACATTTCTTAAGAAAAATCGTTAATTTTATTTGATATTTTATTATTCATTATTTTCATTATTGCATAAAATGTATTCACTTACTGAAGGAGCATTAGACGTAAGTTTCAACATATTTATATTTTATAATTATTTTGTTTTATAATTAATATTTAATTATGATAATAAGTTCTATTTAATTTTAGAAAATTATGAATGGTATCGATGTTGATAAACCAGTATTACAAATATTGGTAAATAATTTATTTAATATAATTTAATGTTAAAATAAAATATTTCAATATAAATGTGATAATTATATTATTATTTTATAGGGTCATAAAAAATTATCTAGTTCAAGTAGTGGAGAACGTTACAGACTTCTTGTATCTGATGGAAAACGAGTAAATTCATTCACAATGTTAGCCACTCAATTAAATTCAATGATAACGGATAACATATTAACAGAATTTTCTATTTGTCAAATAAATAGATATGCTATAAGCATGGTAAATAATGCTGGCAAACAAAAGTATGTAATAAGTATTTAATATTTTTCATTTGATGTAATTTTATTTCATTATTCATTTAATAAAATAAATAAAAAGAAATTATTGAATTTCAGACGAGTAATGGTGATATTAAATATTGATTTGAAAGTTCCTGGTGATGAAGTTGGACATAAAATTGGAAATCCCACAAATGCTGAAGCTGATAATGATTCTAAACCACAAGCACAATCTGTACAATCTGTACAATCAGTTCCTCAACAACAGAGTAATATAAATTAATAAATTAATTAATTATTAAAAAAATCACATTAAATGTTATATATTTGGAAGCCAATAATGAAATTCTCAGGAGCAGAGTAATATTTTTATTCTAGAAATTGATTTAAGCATAGCTTGATAAAGATAAGAAAATAGATTAAAAAAGAAAGTAAAAGGAAGCAAAATAAATTTTTTTGCCCATATTTCTTTTATGTGCATCTATTTTTTTGCTCATGTTATTTATTTTCTTTTTTTATTTATTGATGAGATTCTATTGAATTCAACATTTAACCAAGTCAATCTTAAAGAAATTTAATTGAGCATTATTTTAATAAAAATTATCTTTATTATTATAATATTTTAATTTTCTAAGCTAATTAAAATTATTTTCAGCTAATTTAAAGCCAAATCATAATATGCAACAATCTTCTACTAATAACATATCAACAACACCAATTGTTGCATTGAGTCCTTATCAAAACAGGTATGTTCAATTATTTTTGTTTTAGTGTTATTATTATTTCATAATATATTATATTATTATATATTCATAATATATTATATATTATTATTTCATAATATCTTGAACAATTATTTATGCAGATGGGTAATAAAAGCACGAGTTGTTAGTAAGTCTAATATCAGAACATGGAGTAATTCACGTGGTGAAGGAAAATTATTTTCCATGGATCTTATAGATGAAAGTGGAGAAATTAGATGTACAGCATTCAGAAATGAATGTGATAAATTCTATGATATACTTGAGGTAATTATTATATATAATTATTATTTAAATTTAAATTTTTCAAAAATTATCTTTGAAAATCTTATTATATTTGTTATAGATTGGGAAAGTGTATTATATTTCCAGAGCAACTTTAAAACCAGCAAATAAGCAATTCAATAATTTGAAAAATGATTATGAGATGACTTTAATTGGTGATTCAGAAATTATTCCATGCCATGATAGTGGAGATGATATTCCATCTTTACAATTTGATTTTGTGTCAATAAATGACATAAATAAAAAGGAACAAAATGATATAATGGGTAAAAATTAAATTGAAATAAATATAATTTATATTATATTAATCATAATTCGTTTGTTATAGATATTCTGGGCATTGTAAAAAACTCTGGAGATTTACAAATATTAACATCACGAAATTCAGGTAGAGAATTAAGAAAACGAGACGTCAATCTAGTTGATGAAAGTAATACTATGGTAAAAATTTCATTACATGATTAAAGAATTTATTATAATTCAAATAATATAACAATTAAATAAATTGTTAGGTAACACTTACATTATGGGGATCACAAGCTGAAGAATTTGATGGAAGTAGTAATCCAGTTTTAGCTGTAAAAGGAGCACGTATTACCGAATTCAATGGAGGAAAGAACTTATCTACTCTTAGTTCAACAGTTCTTCAAATTGATCCAGATCTTCCAGCAGCACATAGGTTATAAAATTATGAATCTTTAAAAGAAATATTGTTATAAAAAAAATTATATTATTTCATATATACATATAAAATAATTCTACTTTTTATTTTAATTAGGTTACGAGGTTGGTTTAATACAATGGGTCGCAATGAAGAAGCTACATCACTTTCGAAACCATTTGGAAATACAACTGGAGTAAGTGAATTATGGATAACATTTCAGGAAGCAAAGGATATGGAATTGGGTTATAAAAATTCTGATATATATACAGTAAAAGCAACTCTTAATATGATACGCATGGAAAATGCTATATATAAAGCTTGTCCTTCTGAAAATTGTAAAAAAAAGGTAATTATTTTATATACACTTTTATAATTATAATAAAATTTATTATTCAATCAAATTTTATAGTTAGTAGATCAAGCAAATGACATGTATAGATGCGAAAAATGTGATAAAGAATATCCTAACTATAGATATCGTTTACTTGCAAATGTAAGTGAATTTTTTTTTGTTCATTTAATTAATAATTAAATATTTTAATTGTTCATTTAATAATTAAGTATAGAAAATAATTTTAAATAATCTATTT